GCCTTCGGGTGAGGGTCCGGGGGTCACAGGCCTTCGCGTGAGGGTCCAGGGGTCACAGGCCACTCCCCGGCATCCCTTGGAGGACTTTGTGCTGATCTACAGAATCGTGGTGAGACCTGGAATAAGTGAATCTTGAGGAAGTTTTATTTCTGCCCAGGAGATGGTACTTTTAGGCTTGTACCTTCCCTGCAAATACCATAACTGCATCTAATTCTGAGCTCGGAACCGTCTGGCTTCCAGAGACTGTGGTTCTAGGCAAAGAAAGGACCCACAAACCCTTCCCCCCATCAATTTTGCACCTTTCCAGTTGATGTGTATTTTCAAGCATATTTCTGGAATCTCTGTCTGAGTAGATACAGGTACCATTCCAGTCATGCTGACTAGCTTATGAAAGCAGCCAGGGGTAGGCAGGATGGCCCCAGAAGGAGAAGGGAGCGTTCCACATGGGAATGGATTTTCCAAGAGGAATGGAGACAAAAGATAGAGTCCTGAGAACACGGAGTTTGGCCTGAGTGCACATCTTAGTGCACATCTTAGTGCACATCTTAGTGCATCTTAGTGCACAGTTTGGCCTGAGTGCACATCTACCCATCCCGATGCGCTTAGCACGCTTTCACACGGGCAGGTGGTCCTTGGCAAGAAGGTGACTATCTGATTTGGATGGTTTCCTTTTAGGCGCCTGGTACAGTGACCTGCGATCCAGCACGTGGTTGACCTGAGCCTCCTGACGGTGGCGGCAGGAGCTAACCTTTACTGAGCACGTGCTGGGTACCAGGCCCTTTGGTAAAGCACTTTATGTGACTCTTTGCTCCCGTTTCTCTCAATCACACTTTGAAGTAGGTATTGGGATGAGCCGATATGAAATTGCCATTTTTCATTTTCGAAACAGAAACGGTCGTTTCTGTATGTGAAAACGGTCAAGTATCGGCAGTTCTATGTGGCACAATCTAATCATCTTATTGTAAGATAAAACTGAATCTTCTTACAGTAAGATTCTATTCCAAACAAGTCAAATACCAGCAACTTTATATGTTTTAATCTAATAATTTGTTTTCCAAATGGAGGAACTCAGGCATGGAAATGCGCTCTGAGGCAGCCCAGCGAGCAGGCAGGGGAGCTGGAATTTGAATTGCAGGTCACTGTACCAGGTAGTGCATCTCCAGACCGTCGCGCCGAACGGCTGCACCAGGCTGTCTCCTCCTTGGGGGGGAGACAGAGGCGTGTTTCTGTGGCCTAGGTGTTCACGTTGGTTCTTCCACACCTCGGCCAGCTCTGAGATCAGAGATGGCCGGCCAAACGAATCCAGTGTTTCCTGGAGTCTTGGGTCACGCCCGTGATGCTCTGTTTGAAAAGAATGGTGTGTAGTGAGCACACGAGAAATCCAGAAGATGGAAAATCTTTCTTTAGGATCTCTGCTCCTCTCTCCAGTGAAGAAAGAAATCAGTGTGGTTCCAGCAGAGGTGTTCTCAGCAGGACCTGGTCCATTAAATGAAAGACTTCCATGCTGAGCCAATCAAGACAGACCTGGACAGAAATCAGCCTCTCTCCTGCCCTGGAAGCCCACGCCTGGAGTCTGTAATTCATCTGTTAACTCGAGTGTGCAGCCGGTGGTTTAGCACGGAGGGGGACTGCAGGGAAGGGAAGAGAGAGGGGCAGGAGCTGGAGCCCTCGCTTTTCCAGCATCACAGTCAAGTCAGGCAGAGGAAACAGGGCTCTGATAGCTTCTTGGACCTTCTGTTTCTGGCAAAGAGAAACCAGCAGGGAAGATTTTTGAAAACTGATGAGCTGGTGGAAGACATGAGAACAATGGCGGAGAGGCAGGGACCCCAGGGGCTGAATAAAACAGTTGCGCTGTTGCCTTTCAACAAGACTGAATAAAGTTTAGGATTTTTTTTTAATCGGACTTGTAGCCATTTTTAAACTTTCATTTTTCATAATGTCACAGATAATCTTTTTATCTATTATCCACTGGCTCTTTTCTGAGGGGCATTTGCATCAAATAGTCCTGCGCAGATCACGACTGTCTCTAGTGGGGAAACCGGCTTGAAATGAAAGGTTATTCACTCCCTCTGCTTTCACGGGCTTTGTTCTTGGTTCTCGCACATTTTTTTCTACATCTGAATTCGGGTATTTCTGGAGTTTTTCTTTAGAAACCCTTCCATTCTGAGATCTAAGCATATTCAGACTCCAATCTGTGTGTCAGGGGTTACAAAGCTTATGTTCACTGAAAGTGAAGCACCTACTTTGAAACGTTTGTCAGCTACCCCACGTCCTCCCAAATCCCCTCAGAGCATTTCCTGCCGAGGCAGCAATCATAAAAAGGCGGGCATTCACGCAGTGGGGGGCCCTTTTCCCGGGTGCCGGCCCCCCCACTGGTGGTGGAGCTGTGGCTTTTGCAGTATGCACTGCTGGATGTGAGCTGGGCAGCCCGCTCCTTCCCGCAGCAAGGAGAGGGGGTCTGGGGGCTGGATCTACTTCCACCCATCCTCCCACGTGGGGACTAATAGACCAGCCTCGTCCAGCAGGCAGAAGTGGGGCTGCGTGGATAGGACGCGGTGGGGAACCAAGGTGTCGCCTGGGCTCACGGGGAGAGGAAGCACAAGCCAGCCCCTTGTTTGCGAAACCCCATTGAGAAAAGTGCCCTGAAGTCACGGGGATACGACCGATGGTTTCTGTTCAGCTTCTTTTACTTAGCTCATCCTCCTAAGCTGTCAGGGACTGGGACGGGGGGGGGGGGGGGACCAGAGTTGTTCTCAGGCCTACGTGACAAAGCCTGTCATAAAAGCACCCTTCTCTTCCCCTCCAGCTGCCTCCTCTGCCGTTCCCCAGCACAGAGCCTAGAAGTGCTGCTTTTCCTCCCAGCAGTCACTGGGGGCAGCCTGCAGAGGCAAGGCCTGAGGGGCCACTGCCGTGTACGTGTTCAAACTGTGCACTGAACTCGCCCCCAAACAGCTGCTCTCAGGCCAACAGTGACCTCACAGAACACTGGCCAGGGGCGTGCTCTTCCATCTGTGTATCTAGAGTCCCTAAAACAAGGGAATATTGGGCCCAAAGAAGTACTGACAAGACAAGCCCCTCTGGCTGAAGGGCGCTGCTTTGGGGCGCTGGCCACACTGCCCCTCCCAAGGCCTGCGGGAAGCGATGCCGCTCTCATTCATTACACGGGATGTGAAGGCCAGGCAGGCCCAAGTGATGGCCGAGTTCGCCGGGCTGGCGGCTGGTGGGCCTCAGAGTGTAGACCTCTCTGGCTCTAAATTCCTTACTCCTACCATCTGCCGCCTCCCCAGGCTGTCAGGGCTTCTTCGGGGCGCGCCGATCCTTTATCTTAGGGACTCTTTAGATCCACCACCGTGATGGTGGCTGCTGTGAGGACTTGCTCTGAAGAGAGAGGCAGCATTACTGGGGTAAAGTAGTAAGGTAATTTCCTTGTCCCTGAGCTCCCCAGACCTTTGAGCCACTCATCATACTTTTATACTTTTACGACTGAAAAGAAATTTCTGTGAAGTCATAAATACACTAGAAGCCCTTGTAACTGAGTACATGAAAGTATTCTCTCCTTGGGTGTGGGAATCTCTCAGCAATGTGGCAGGAATGTAGAAATCAGTTCTGAGTTGGCAACCAAACATAACAGATTTCCCAGTTGTACCAAGCACACGTAGCTGTGGCTGTAAAGCTCCCCCTTAAAGCAAAATGTAGCTTTGTAAGGTGTAGTTTTCCTCCTTTACTGTAGCTTTTCTGTGAGAGCTCTGGGTTTAGTTTCATTGTATAGATACTTGTAACCCTTTGAATAAGTAGAGTGCCCGCTAAATTGTGTCTCTGTAACTTACTCCAGAGTTAAAGTGAATTGTAGTTAATGTTTCCGCATCCAGATTTACAGCTGCACCTGGACTGGTAACGTGGGGTGGGTGGCACACCATCGCTGAACTAAGACTCGGGGGCTGTTGGCTCTAGTCCCGGCCTGCCCCTCACTGCGACTTGAACAGGTATCTCTGCTTCTGTAAGCCTCAGAAAGAAAGAGTGAGACTACCTGCCCTGCCCCACCCGCCTTGGTGGATTGGTAAGAGTTCCAGGGCAAATTAGAAAGATTGGGTACTGCTGGAAGCGGCCTAGGGCCGGAGCTCACCAGGTGTGCATGACACACCCAATTTGCGCGTGTCCACCTAGGAGCTTTTGATTCACAGGACATGCTGTTACCCATTCCTGGGGGGAAAATACCGTTGAGATTACACCAGTCCACTCTTTGACAGGAAGCCTCGGCTCCTGGCAACAGAATCCCACGCCGTCTCCTTCGGCCGCCCTGTGCTGCGTTCACGCTCCCCTGCCTGCCACGCGCTTCACGGCGCACACACTTCTCTCACCCGGACCAGGCTGCCGCGTGGATAATCCGCCGGCCCTCAGCTTGCCTGCTGCTGCGGTTGGCGTGGCTCTCAAAACTCCAGCCACCGAGCCTGCAGAAGCAAACCTCTAGGCCTCCCGGGAGGTTCAGGGGTCCCCTTGTGGCTGAGCCCTTAACAGAAACTACAGTCTGTAAAAAGAATAACAGTTAAAAATGATGTGGGTTTCAAATGTACCATATGCTCACTGATAACATTTAGAAAATCCAACACACAGTAAGAAAAAAATATTCACATATGCCATCGATACATTTTACATATTTGCGTTGTTTGTTCAGCTTTTTTCTCTTAACATTTCATCACGGGCGGTAGCGTTAAGTTTAGGGGCTTGGATTCTGGAGCCAAACCGCTTGCGTTTGAATCCAGCTCTGCCACTTGGACAGCTCTGTGCCCTTGGACAGGTTTTTGGATATGTTTATAATTCCATTTTCTCATCTGTAAATTAAGGATAACAGTACCTACTTCAGAGGCTGTTTTGAGGCATTAACACAAATAAAGGACTGAGAATTATGCCTCCTGCCCTGCAGTAAGCACTCAATAATCGAAGTTGGTAATATTCCTTTCTTAAAAAAACGTGATTTAGGGCTTCCCTAGTGGCGCAGTGGTTGAGAGTCCGCCTGCCGATGCAGGGGACGCGGGTTCGTGCCCCGGTCCGGGAAGATCCCACATGCCGCAGAGGGGCTGGGCCCGTGAGCCATGGCCGCTGAGCCTGCACGTCCGGAGCCTGTGCTCCGCAACGGGAGAGGCCACAGCAGTGAGAGGCCCGCGTACCGCAAAAAAAAAAAAAAAAAAAAGATTCATTAAATAGGAATATAGTACTTTAAAAATTCCATGCTCTGCTCCCTCCACAGTCACTTAGAGTCTGAGGAGTAAGACTAGAGCATCATCCCCCTCGGTTCCCTCCCCTCCATCCTTGTACACCTGAGGAGAGCAGGCACTACCTGAAGAACTGCATCTTCCCCATGTTGAAAGCCGAGTGGCCTGCCTTACCATTTGCATCAAGGCCAGACCCTAGTGTGGTGATCATGGAATCGAAGACTCAACGTCCAGTACCATTTGCCAGCACATCCTTTTATTAGTGGAGATTATTTGGGGGCAGGTCAACAAGCTGTATATGTTTTCAGCAATGCTTTGTTTTTCTCCCCCAAACACAAAGTGCTATTTAGTCCTCACATCGCCTAGGAAAGCAAGGGAGGGACTGTTTTTCCCATTGAGCAGAGAGGAAAGCTCAGGCCCTGGGTGGGATCAGACTGCAGGTCCATTGCCGCCAAGGTGAGTACCCCATCCCGGGGACTTGCTCCCCTCAAGCTGTCGTGACCTCTCCACAGTAATGACTGGCTGCTTTAAATGCTCCCCACACGAGTCTATGGAGAAACAGCAGTGCCTCGGCCCAGGAGCAGAAGGCCTGCCTCAGTCGGAAGGTGGCAGGCCAGGTGCAGTGTCACAGAATACGGCAGCCCAGGCAGCCGTCGATGCTGTGCCCTCTCGTGTCACGATGAAAGGAGTAGGATGGGGTCAGACTCATGACCCTTAGAGTCAGAAGAGAAAAAGAAGCCCAGGCCCCAGCTCTACTCCTCTCCTTTCAGAATCCTCCCTCGAGGGGCTCTGACTGTGGCTGAGGGGAGAGGAGGCATTTCTTCACGCACAGTGCTGACTGTTCCACCTTGACGGTGGCCTCTGCTCTGTCCTCACTCACATGACCACGGGAAGCAGCTCTTTACAGCAGTAGTTCTCAAACTTGAGTGTGCACCAGAATCACCTGGAGAGCCTCGAAAAACACAGACTGCTGGGTGGTCCCACCCCTGGGGTTTCTGACTCAGTAGACCTGGGGTTGGGCCCCAGAATTTGCATGTCTGACAAGTTCCTAGATGATGCTGGTCCAGTGACCATGCTTTGATATCCTGTCCTTCGCTAGCCCAGGTTAGCAGGCCTTGATCCCTGCTCAGGAACATGACAGGATGGCTCAGATGCTGAGCTTTTTAAATTCAAGTTCCAAACACGAGAGAACCAGGCAAGAGCCCTTCCTGACTCTGTGCATTCAAGGGCCACAGAGAGAGAAACAGTAGCTCTCTGGTCTTGGGACAGGAAAGCTCTCTGCAGCTACTGCTTCTATGGATGGGGGTGGTGAGTGCACTTTGATGAAGACGAACATGTCCAGAACCACCCAAACAGGGCAGACAGGAATTATTGCTGGCTGCTTTGTGGGGAGAGGTGCAAAGCTGGCATTGAAGCAGCCCCTCTTAGGGGCCAGTGCTATCTGCAGGAGTGTCAGCTTTGGCCACTTGTTTCTGGCTGACCCCTCCAGGAATTCTCCCTCTTCAGCTCACCTCCTTGGTTAAGGAGCACTGAAATGCTGTGGCAGAAACTCGGGAATTAGAAGCCTGTGTGCCTGCTCCGTCACTTACTAGCTCAGGGGCAAGGTTTCGGAACCATTCCAGGCCTCAGTTCCTTAATATGTAAGATGGAGATAATCTCTGCCGACCTCTCAGGTTGTGGGGTGGACCTAACTGCATCGCTCAGTGCTGTGCTGTGCATTCCTGGGAACGTCCCTGAGGTTAGGGCTCTCGGCAAGGAAGGCAGCCACAAGGGCGGCCCGGGTGCTCTTTGGAAATTCTGGATGGGGAGACCTGAGGCCCGGCCTGGCTTTTCCACCCTCTCACCTTCACAAGCCACTCCATCCTTTCAGCTTCAGTGTCCTCCTCTGTACCATGAAGTTGGAGTAAATTCAGAACCTCTTCTGGCTGTAAATGGTTTGAGCCCACTGTCAACTGGAAGACTCAAGTAGAGGCTGTAACGTCTAAACACCCAAACGGCAAGGAGCCTTTCTTCCAAACCACCCAGCTGGATTGGTGGGGCAGTTCTGTGGTTCCGGGCACTGACGACCAACCTGTCCCGCCGCCGCGAGCCTCAGGTTGCTTCAGGGCGGCCCTGACACCGGCGCCCTGCCCCGCTCGTGCCTCCTTGCCTGGCCGGGATGCGGAGTCGGCAGAAAGTGCACGCGCTCTGCGTGGCGGCCGCCAGCCCCGCGCCGGCGCGCCCGGCTCGCCGCAGCCAATCGGCGCGCGCACCGCGGGTGACCTCCCCCGGGCACGGAATAAATCGTCAAGTTGCCCCGCCGCGGGTCTCAGTCTTCTGGGCTAATTAGCGGAGCGGGTCATGAGCAGCGCGGAGGGTCGGGCCATTTTGTGGGCCGGGGAGGGGCGCGGGAGGGCGGCGCGCTTCTCGGGGTCCGAGGCCTCCCCGCGCCGCGGGTAGACGGCTGGCGCGGCCGCCGCCCGGAGCCGCTGTCTGGCCCGCTTCCCGGGGCGCGGCGATCTCTGCCGCTCGGTTCCCGCACCCCGGAGAGGAGGCTTAGGCTGGCCCGGCGGGGACGCCGCGCGGCCGCCATCCTCTTCCCTCGGACCGTCGACTCGGCTCTCCCGCGGCCAAGATGCAGCAGATGCTGAACGTGCCGCCTGCCTGTAGACCTCAGATGCGCCTTTCCCGGAGGTTCTGAACTTCTGGAAATCCCGAGACCGCGTCGTGGGTTTTGTTTTTGTCTTCGGCTCGACTTTGGCTTTGATATTCTCTGGCTACCTGGATACGTCTTTGCTTTGTGGGTAAGTCTCCCGTGGATCGCAGCACCAGTAACCAACCGCAGGGAGAATCCGCCTTTAAAATTCCCAGCCTGGAGGCGCCTCGGGCTGGAGAAGACGACCCCACTCCTGACCACGTAAGGGCTCTCTGATTCCACCTTTCCTCTGATGGGGAGAAATATCATTTCATGGCAGAATTTTAAGCACATTGTCTGATAGGATTGGCAATCACTAACCAGGAAAATGAGTAGCAATTAGGAGTTCAGTAATAAACGGAAGTCTGTTGTCCTAATTAAGTGGAATTACTGACGGGTAATGGCAACATTGAATTCTTCAGTTTAATTAAGAGTTTATATAATTATAGTGCACTTTTTATTTCTTGGGGGAGCCATGGGGTAGGAATTAAATAACCAGTGTGATGGGTAAGAAACCCATTTAATGGATAAGTAACCGGTGCGTTGAAATAAACGTGGGTGCTTGCTCAAGTAATGGGAACTTAAATGAAGTCCTAATACAGGCATGTGCTAGCTTGGACCAAGCAGGACTTTCTTTCAGCTGCTAATTCCCGTCTGATACAAATCCGTGTGGCTTAGAAATTATTAGCTCATCTCTGACACCGGAATCGGCTGTTACAAAGACAGCAAAGCTCAGCGCTCCCCCGCAGTGGGATTAGCCCCCATCTGTGCTTTCTGGAACTGTGTTTTCCACATTCCCCAAGAATGAAGTGAGAGGGTCATTTGAGGGTATTCTGCTGTCTGGGGTTTCTGTATCAAAAATCTCGTGATTGCACTGTTCAGCCGTAATTGTTGATAGCTGAAGGGGCTGGCAAGCCCCACTGAAGTCATGCAGCCTCAAAGCGGAGCGAGGGTGTAGGTGTGGAATTTGTTTGAGCGCTGATCTGTAATTATAAAGATGTGATTTTCCTCTTTGGTGGTGTATTGTTTCCTTTACTATTATGTTCTCATGAAATTGTTCCCCTCGTGGGAAGCAGTGAAACTGGAGAGAAATCCCTCCTCAGAGGGTAATTTTCTTGTTTTTGTTTTTGTTTTTGGTGTAGGTTTCTCAGAATCCTTTTAAGCCTGCCTTGGGATGAGTGTGTTTATTTCTGTAAGAAGCTCCAGCAGGTTTGGAAATCACTAGGTTTCGAGTGTACTGGGAAATAATTAGCACCTCAAATAATAATATTTATTTATACCTTGGCTGCAGCCTCTTGCTTACATAAGGTCTAGATTTTTCAACAGGATGAGCAGGGACTACCTTCTCCAGAGAGCTCCCATATCACGAGTGGGCTCAGGGAGCGCCATGAAACTTGTATTTCACTCCAGAAGAGACAGCAAATGGCAGGGATGGAGCAGTGCATCTTTAATGCTGCATGGGTTTTAAAGTTTGCAAGGCCTTTGGGAACTTACCCATAATTCCCTGCTGTTAACGAGAGAAAGCGGGGTTGGATGGATGTTTGCTGTGTATGTCTCCTGACCTCAGGCCTTCCAGGGTGCGCTGTAGGTGCCTGGGGACAGAGTGGGGAAGTGACACGAGGCCGTACTGGTGTTACTGTCCAGAATTTTAAGGACTTGTCTCCTCTGGTTTTTCCTCTGTCCCCCAGCCCTGTTTTGTCATACTGCCATGAAAGTCTTAACAAAACTGTCAAAAATACCTGCACCTGTTCTACCAGAACCATGGCCTCTGCATGCAGGCTTATTTTATTGGCTTGCTGCTCCTTTACTTATGTTCTACCCCAAGACACAGCACGCTCCTGTACAGCAGACAGATTCTTGAACACACAACACGGATGGAAATTTGAGACTTGTAACATTCAAGGATGACATATTGCCATGTTTCCTAACTTTTCATAAGGGGTTGTGACTAAAGATCACAACTTCCTAACGTCCCTTTTTTTCCTAAGCTCTCACAGTTCCTTCACACACCTGCCTGTTAACTGTTTAAAAAGCTCCATGATGTAAGGAGGAGAGTCAAGGATGGCCATTCTCTGTGAAATGCTGCCCTGGCTTAGCCAACCCCGGCATTCTCGTTCTGACTAGTGGGTGTTGGGTGCAGTGAAAGTTTCCTTCCATGGTAACATCTTTAAGATTTGGTTCCAAATTCCCTTTCTTCTTTTTATAATCTGTCACCTCTACATTTATCTAAAATCAGCCTGAACTGATAGAAAAACTGAGAGATAGGTTATGAAGCTCCCGGCAAGCCAGGAGCAGATTCCAAACTCTTAATGAAATGATCCGACTTAGGAACAAGACACAGACTGGCCTGTAGTCTCTTAGAATCCATTGTTCGTCTGAGGGCAGGAGCACTGGGAAAGATGGCAGTCACAAGCCCTGTCTCCGCACGTTTTTCATCCTCCTTCCCACTCAGTCTTGGGTCCCCTGGATAGGCCGTGTCGTGGGTATCAGTCACCACTTGTCCGCTGGTTGCACAATGCAGTTTACCAGCCTCTGCCCAAGCGATGCCTCGCAGCCATAGTATAACAATAGCGCATAAAAGAATGTAACGCTCCTGTGGGTCTGGGCCCCGGTCCAAGGGGATTAGCTACTGGAAGTACCTGAAAGGCATTGTTGAAACACACTCACCTGTAACGCGGTTCCTTGGCCTGGATCTGAAGGGCAGGGTAATGTCGGTGTCCTTTTGTTACCTCTGAAGGGACACGTCCTTTTCCATGTAACGCCCGACCTGCTGGCTCATAGTCGCCCCGTTGTGGCATCAGGAGAGTGCTCCGAGGTCATGTAGGCCCTGGCATTGGCATCTCCTAGGGAGCTTGTCAGAAATGCTGAGCCTCACATCTGCCCCCTGATTCTTCAGATCAGAATCTGCATGTTAACAAGATCCCCAGGTGATCTGTACGCGTTTTGACAGGTTGGCTTCTGCCCTGACGCAGTCTGGCGTTTAACAGGCAGGATATTTACGCAGGAGTGCCCTAAGGATTAGCACCGGTGGAGGGACGCAGCAGGGCAGGAATGGCGGGTGGAGGGAGAGGTCGAGCTGTGGTTTAGGCCCAGGGTCAGGCTTCCCTGACCACATGGGAGGCTCCGGAGCCGGATCGGCCTTCAGATTTGTCCCATGTCGGGCAGCGGTGGCCCGGCCTTTATACGCCGTGCTGGCAGCACTCCTGGCAGCTGGGCAGCAAGTCCTTCATCGGACAGTGCCCACCACGCACACTGGAGTTGGGAGAAGCACTGCTCTAGGCTGGGGGTTCTCAGACCACCAGGCCCTTCAGCACGGGGTTTGGGCTAGAGATGCAGATTGCACCCCGGGCCTGCGGGAGCGGAAGCTGTAGCGGTGGCACCCAGCAACCTGTGTTTAAGCCAGTCCTCCGGGCACAGCTGCAAGCTCAAGTTTGAGAACCACCCTCCTAAGGCAGCCTTTTTTGGTTTGTTTTGTTTTTTAGTAACAGCTCTAGTGAGAGAAGATTCACATTCTATCTCAATAATAAAATTCCCCAATTTCAAAGTGTACAGGTCAGTAATTCCTGGAGTATTCAGAAGGTTGTGCGACCATCACCTCTAATTCCAGAACAGTCTCATAACCCCAAAATGAAACCCCCTACCCATTAGCACCGGCTCTCCACACCCCTCTCCCAAGTCTGGGAGCCACTAATCTATTTTCTGTCTCTGTGGAAGTGCCTGTTCTGGACATTTCATAGAAATGGAGCCACGCAACATGTGACCTTTTGTGTCTGTTTTCTTTCACTTAGCATAACGTTTTCAAGGCCTGTTCATGTTGTAGCATGAATCAGTACTTCGTCTTCTTAAATAGATAAATGACGTTGCATTGTATGGATAGACCACATTTTATTTATCAGTTGACAAACATTTGTACTGTCTCCGTTTTTTTTTGGCTCTTATGAGTAACGCTACTATGAACATTCAGGTACAAGGTTTTGTGTGGACGTATTTTTCAATTCTCTTTAGTATCAGCAAATACCTAGGAGTAGAATTGCTGGGTTGTTATGGTAAATCTACGTTTAACTTTTTGAGGAACTTCCTGTCTGTTTTCCAAAGTGGCTTGACCACTTTGCATTACCCCCGTCAGAGTCCCAATTTCTCCATAACCTCTCCAACATTTGTTATTGTCTGTCTTTTTATTATGGCCTTCCTGGTGGGTGTGAAGGGGTATCTCGCGGTGGTTTTAATTTGCATTTCCTAATGATTCATGATGTTGAGCATCTTCTTCATGTGCATGTTGGCTCTGTTTATATCTGCTTTGGAGATATTTCTATCCAGATCCTTTGTAGGAGAGACTTTTAGTCCTTGAGGAATCCCTCAGGATGTCTGCTGTGCATCTAGACCTGGGCAGTTGCTTTAGGATTTATAAAAGGAAGCCTAGGACGTGGCCTTTAACCAGGGGAAAGTTCCCAGTAGGCGTGGGACAGTGAAAGAAGAGGGCAAGAGAGCCCACTGTCAAGGGCCCACCTAAAGAGGTTCACATTGTTTTACAATTCGTGTTACAGAAGGATGTTGCATGGGTGGCTGGGATAGAGTGAGTTAGGGTTGTGGAAAGGTTTTGTGGAGGTCAGAGGCTGCTTAGAAGACAGGAAGTGTTGAGAGGACAAGGAAAGCAGAGAGGAGAAAGGAAGTCCTCAGTGGGCCTTCCCTACACACTCTTGTTTTATGGGTTACCATCCCTGTAAGAGGGGAACTCAGAAGCCTGGGATTTCTGGGAATTCCCTGGTGGTCCAATGGTTAGGACTCCGTGCTTCCCCTGCAGAGGACATGGGTTCGAT